TGCTTGCCAGGCAGGCACTTGTGCCACTGAGCTATATCCCCACCTGATTTTGTTCTGATATTTAGATCTTTGATCCATTTTGATTTTAGTTTAGTACATGGTGAGTGTTATGGGTCTAGACTCAATCTTCTGCATGTGAACCGCCAATGTTCCCAGCACTCTTTACTAAAGAGGCTATCTTTCCTCCAGCATGTGTTTTTGGCTTCCTTGAAAAAAATCAGATGGCTGAATGTGCCTGTTTCTGCATCCTCTGTTCTGTCCCATTGAGCCATATGTCTGTTTTTATGCCAGTATTGTGCTGCTTTTACACTGTTTGCATTGTGGTATAACTTGAAGTCCAGGATTGTGATGCCTCCTGCTTTGCACTTGTTGCCCAACATTGCTTTTGCTATTCCTGATCTCTTCTGGTTTCATATGAAGTTTGATCCTTTTCTCTAGTTCAGTGAAGAATGCTGTTGGTATTTTGATTGGGATTGCATGAAATCTGTATATCAGTGTTGGGAATATGCCACTTTTTTCAATATTTGTCCTGGCTATCCAGAAATAGGAGATGTCTTTCCAATTTTTGATGTACACTTTGATCTCCTTTTTCAGAGTACTATATTTTTCGTTGTAGAGATCTTTTACCTCTTTGGATGGGTTAATTCCCGAGTATTTAATTTTTCTTGAAGTTATTGTGAATGGTATTATGCTCCTAATTTTTCTCTTGTTGGGTTCATTGTTGGTGTGCAAGAATGCTAGTGATTTTTGTGGTTGACTTTGTATGCTGCTGTATTACTGAATTTGGTTATTAATTCTAGGAGTCTTTCAGTGGAATTCTTTGGGTCTTCAATGTGTAGGATCATTTCACTTGCAAATGATGATAATTTGATTTTTTCCTTTCCTATATATATCCCTTTTACATATAAGAAAGGAAAAAATCAAATTATGATCGGTAATTTATACACATCTATCCATTTCTTTTGGATTCTCTAATTTGTTGGAGTACAGGTTTTAAAAGTAGTTACTAAAAATATGATTATTTGTATAATTTTCACATTTATTTCTTTCTCTTGCCTGACTGCACTGGCTAATGTTTTGACTACTGTATTGAACAGGAGTGGTGATAATGGACACCCTTATCTTGTTCCTTTCAGCTTTTCCCCACTTACTATGACATGGGTAGTAGGTTTGTCATAAATGGCTTTTATCAGCTCGAGATAAGGTTCTTGTATAACTGTTTTCTTTGGAGTTGTTTTTAATAAGGAATGAACGTTGGATTTTGTCAAAGACTTTTTCTGAATCTATTGAAATGATTACATGAATTGTGCCCTTGTTTCTGTTTATGTGATGTATCACTCCTGTTGATTTTCATCTGTTGAGCCATCCTTACATTCCTGGGATGAAACCTATTTCATCATGATGAATGATATTTTAGATGACGTTGCATTCTGTTTGTCAGGTTCTTTTTGAAGATTTTTGCATTTCTGTTCATGAAAGAGATTGGTCTGTAGTGTTCTTCTTTGGTTGGATCCTTGTCTGATTTTGAAATCAGGGTAATGTTAGCTTCCAGGAATGACTTTGGGATTACTCCTTCCCTTTTAATGTCATTAAAGAATTTGAGGAGTATTGGCATTAGATCTTCTCTGAAGTTTTCATAGAATTCTGCAGTGAACCCATTAGGTCCTGGACATTTCTTAGTTGGTATATATTTTGTATTACTGCTGTAACTTCATTGCCTGGTACTGGATTCTTCAGAGGTTTTGTATCTTCTTGGTTCAGTTTTGGTAATTTATATGCATCTATCTATTTCTTTTGGATTCTCTCAATTATTAGAGTATAGGTTTTTAAAGTAGTTACTAATAATCTGGATTTTGAAAGTTTCTGTTGTGATTTTCCTTTTTCATTTTTAATTTCATTGGTTTGGGTCTTTCTTTTTTTTGGTAAGATTGGCAGAAGGTTCATTTTGTTTCTTCTTTTGTAGAACTAACTCTTTGATTCATTGATTTTTTTTTTTAGCCTCAATTTCATTAATTTCTTCTCTTTATAATTTCTTTCCTTCTACTAGATTTGGATTTGGATTGTTCTTGTTTTTCTAGGACTTTGAGCTGTGTAAGTTATTTATATGGGCTTACTCTCTTTTTCTTATAAGGCCTTAACAGCTATGAACTTCTCTCTTAGAACTGATTTTATTGTGTCCCATTCATTCTGGTCTGTTGTACTGGCACTATCATTTGATTCTAGGAACTAGTTTCTTCTGTGATTCATTGATTATTCAAGAGGATAATATTTAATTTCCATGTATTTGCATTATTTCTGTGGTTTATTTTGCCATTGATTTCTAGTTTCATTGCACTATGATCTGATAATATGCATGGTATAATTCTGATTCTTTTGTATTTACTTAAGCATGCTTTATGGGCTAGTATGTGGTCTATTTTGGAGAAAGTTCCATGTACTGCTGGGAAGAATGTGCATTCTGTTGTTGTTGGGTGGAACATTCTGTACATATCATTTAAATATGTTAGTTAGAAGATTTGGTTCATCCCTGATATTACTTTGTTCATATTTTGCCTAGTTGATATGTCTACTAATGATAGTGGTGTATTGATATCCCCCACTATCATTGTGTTTACCTGATCTTTTATGTCCAGCAGTGTTCATTTTATGAAGTTTCTATGCACTGCTTTTTGGTGCATATGTGTTACTAATTGTTACCTCTTCCTGTTGAATTGTTCCCTTAGTTAATATGCAGTGACTCTGCCTCTTTTGATCATTTTGACTTAAAATCCACTTTTTCTGAAAATAAAACACCTACTGCTTCTTGTGTCTAGATTCCCATTGCATGGAATATTGTTTTCCAACACTTGATTTATAGTCAATGAGTGTCTTTTGGATTACATGTGTTTCTTGTATACAACATACTGTTGGGTTTTATTTTTTTTTTTTTTTAAATCCATCCTGCTAATCTTCTCTTTTGATTGAACATTGAGGCCATTCACATCGGCAGTTACTATGAAAGGTATTGATGAATTACTGTCATTGCATTATTTTCCTGTTGCTGATTTTTCTTTTTTGCTCTTCTGCTTAAGTACCACCCTTCCTGGTGTATCCATTCTATGGGACTTTTTGGCACTGTTGGCTCATTGTCTGTTTTTAAAATATGCTTGAGGACTTTTTGGAGTGCTGATTGTGTGGTCATGAATTTCTTAAAGTGCTCATTGTCATGGAAATTCTTCACTTCTCTATCAACTTTGAAAGACAGTTTTTCAGTATATATCAACCTGGGTTGAAATTTGTTTTCTTTTAGAGCTTGGAACACTTCACTCTAAGCTTCCTGTCCTTTAAGGTTTGTGTTGAGAAGTCTACTGTAATTTTAATGTGTTTACTTTTATAAGTGATTTGTTGCTTTTCTCTAATGTATTCTAAGGCTCTGCTTTGTGTTGGACTTGTGGATTTTTGACTATGATGTGTCATGGAGGAATTTTTTCTGATCCCTCACTTCAATTGAAATGTTTAATAATGTTAGATGTAAGTCTATCATGTTTGTCTTGATCCAGCTTCTTTGTTACTTTTTTCTTGCATGTCTGTGTTCTTTTGGGTAAAATGACCATTTTGTTTTCTATTGAGTTTTTATCTCTGCCTCTTGTGTATGTTCCAGTAGTTACTCTAGACATTCCAATATGTATCTATAACATCACAGACCACCTTCAAATAACATTATATTACTATTTTCCCATCACTTTGGGTAGTTAATTTTTCACATGATTGTGAGAGAAAAAAATCAATCCTATCCCTGTTAAATGTTTGTGAACATTAGCCTCATTTGATTTGCATTTTACAATCATTGTGGGTGCAGACTTTCCTCTGCCTGATCACAGAATTGATCTTATAGCTCACATATGTTTGTGTGGTTATTGGTTATGGGCTTACTTGAGGGTTTTTTGGGAGACAAATTCCTCTTTTTCTTTTTTCTTTTGAAATGAGTGCAAATTAGGAAGAAATGGGAAATATTAAGTACCAATCTTTTTTTTAAAGGGAATTTAAAAGAAGGCTGGTAAAGTACACAACACAGTGTACTGACCCTTTTTGCAATGAATGTGATGAGAGATTTTTTCCTCCTAGCCACTGATACCAGCTTATTGAGGTTTAGGTTGACTAATAGTCTGAGAATGGGAATGGATTTGAGAGGCTCCATTTAAGGGTTGATTTCCCTTGGCACAGATCTTTATGCCTTCCATAGATGGCTCTCTTCCTGTCTTCCTGTGAGACACACACGACATGTCTTACCTAGCACCTCTGTGTCTACCATAGTAATCAGTGTCTCGTGGGCTAGGGCGCATGGCTGAGCTTCTGGCACAGTGGCATATATATGTAAAATATTTCGCATATATTAATAATCAAAAGTAGATCCTTCTGAACCCACAATTTAACTGGGTTGACTGAAATACTTTCTATGTACTGCCCATCTTTGGAAGCTGGTTCTCTTGACTAGTAAAACAACAATTAAACAAATTAGCTGCTGATACTAATAAGGTGGTGGAATATTGTTTTTGCTTGTAAAATGCTGACTTGTACCTCAAATATTAAATTTTGTAAAATTCCACTTGTTGTTATTTAACAATGTACTGGAAATTATGGTCCATGTCACTGTATGTGCATTAAATTTCTAAGGTTGTACTTCAGTGGCATGTCTAGAGCAGTTTATATATGAATGGTTACTTTAGTTGATTAGTAAAATTAAAGGTAGAAACATAGTGATTGTGTTGACTAAGAAAAGGGAAAAAAACCACTTATTTTTCACAATTAATTTTCACGTGTTAACACATGTATACACTGTGAATCCTACTCTCACCTGATTCCTGTTTTGCTTTTAACTATCTGGACTAGTTGCTTTCTAGGTTCTGTTGGGGGATATAATCTCAAACTCCCTGCCATTAATATCTCTTCAAAGCTCTGCCAAGAAAAACAATATTTATGGAGCATTGGCTGAAGTATTTGTTGTCCATCCATTTTTTTAGATAAGCCATCACCAAACCTGTTGTCTCACAGACCCCTGAGAGAATGTGGAGTTATCACAAGGCTGTCTGCAAATCCTCTCCTGAAGGTATTATTATTTGTGTCATAGTTATCTGTAAGGACACAACAGTGACATTGAATAGTCTGTTTAAAGGAAGAGAGCTTTTCACAACACCCAGATCTTTACTTAGAAGAAGAAAGTTGTTGACAGATGCAATCAGTATTGGGACGTGGAACTGGAGTCTGCAGGCTTGAGTTTAACTGCTTGTTTCAGGGGCCCCGTTAGCACCACAGCACTGTGGAGCATTAGTGTTGGAAAGGATGCTGTGGCCTTGGTGGCTCAGTCTTGCAACACCTGCACTGAGAGTGCTGAGCCGCACACAAAGGGAGGAGCCGGGAAAGGGAGGAGGTGTTTCCCATGCGCGATCGCAGACTTTCTCAAAGCTGTTCTTTGTGGCTGACAACATCCCAGCGGTCGAAAACATACACTTGCAGTATCTGTTTTTATTTGGTTAGTAAGGAGAGTAAATTTTTGAAAATCCCCCATTTGAAATGCAGCAGGAAGACCAGCAGCTTCCAAGGATGAGTTCTGTAAAGATGCCCGATGATCGGGGTGCTCAGGGAGCCCACTGTCAGCCAGCCCCCAGCGTGGGACTACAGGGGTTTGCACAGCGGTGTGTGTGGCCATGCATTGCCTCATTACACTGGTGACTGCATTAAAGGAGGGAAGCTGAGGGAGCACTGTTTGGAAAAAAATGTTAAAAGGAGCACAAAAATTATGGTAATTCTGCAATTTATCGCCAGATGCTCTTCATCACATCTGTAAATTGCATTAATCTGATCTGAATTCTAATATCCACACTAAGATGCTTCTTTTTTCTCAAAGCCAGTGGTCAAAAGGGGAAGTAGAAGAATGATCACATTCAATTTAGCTCTTCATTTACCGAGAATGAGAGCTATCCACATGGGCAATGTGAAAGTGCTTGCAAATCATAATGCGAAACCTTCTTCACCTTGTCATTTAGAAATAAAATAGCTTATAAAAATAACTATTTAAAGCTGGGCCTGGTGGTGCATGCTTATAATCCCACTACTCTGTGAAGCTCAGACAGGAGGACTGAAAATTCAAACCAAGCCTGGGAAAATTGGAGACTTGGTGATACCCTGTCTCAAAAAATATAAAAGGCCTGGAGATATAGCTCCATGCAAAGGCCCTGGGTTCAATCTCCAGTACTGCAAAAGACAAAAACATAAAACACAAACAAAAGAACCCTACACAAACAAACAAACCATAGTAAACTTAATTGAATGGTATTTTCTACAAATTAAAATCATCCTCAACAGTCTCAAAAGTTTCATATGTAAAGATTAAACCATGCTGACCACCTGGATGTTAGGTAGTGGCCTGTTTGCAAATATTTAACTAGTAAGTAGTTTTGGAGGGATGGATGTGCAAAAATATATGTACAGAAGTGTCTTGGTTACTTTTCTCTCATTACTGAGACAAAATATCTGATGCCCAAAATTGAGGAAGGAAAGATTTATTTAGCTCACAGTTTGTGGGGGTTTCAGTCCGTAATCAGCTGGCTCCAAACAGGGTGGCACATGGCAGAGGGCAACAGTTCATGGTGGCAGAAGACAGCAAAAGCAACAAGAGCGAAAGGGGGAGAAGTAGAAAGAGCAAGCCTCTTTCCTTCTCTTATATTGTATTCAGGCTGCCCGCCCCACGGCAGTGTAGCACTCGCACCCATAATTCCAGCATTGGGCCAGGAATCAATCACAAACTCTAGGACCCCACACACATGACTGCATGAGGCTTTGAGGGACATTGAGACACAAACCATAGCATGAAATTTATTATAAATTTTATTGATATAAAAGAGGTATAGAATATAATTTAGAAATAATAATAAAACATGAATACCATTTATTGTACATTCTAGATAGCTGGCTGATTTTTGCCAGACTCTCATATCCACAGCTGGTCTATGATTTGACAACAGGATTGAATCCCAATCTAGCAACATTTTTCCTAGTAAATTTATTATTTTTGCATCTCATATATGAGCCATTGTCAGAGTAGTTCTCATTCTTGGATGACTAATACTCATGAAATTAAGATCTTCTGGCTTTTAGTTTTTGAGTTTACTCAAAAGCACTGTTTTTGAGTTTAAGCTGCATTATTGACATTTTCTTTCACTTTCTTAAATGTACACATTAAGAGTAATAGATCAAGCCCTGATGTGTCATGTTTGTTAATGTGCATAGTATAAATGTTCCCTTTGTTTCAAGCTACCAACATGATGTCACCAAATACCCAGATGTTCACATTATAAAGTACTGCCACCCGAACAATAGACCCGAACAATCTCAAGACTATAGACAGTAATAGATAGTAGTAAAATAACTAAAGATTGGTGAGTTTTGAGGATTCTTACTCGTTTTAAAAAATATTCCCTATTTAATTGTAAATATTCATAATCTTTTTTTCAATACTAAGGATTGAACCCAAGGCCTTCACACTGAGCTACATCCCTAGTTGTTTTTTATTTTTTATTTTGAGGGAGGGTCTTGCTAAATCATTAAGGTGTCCAGCTGGGCTCAAACTTGTGATCCTCCTGTCTCAGCCTTCCAGAGTGCTGGGATTACAGGTATGTGCCACTACATCTGGCACATGATTTAAAATTTAACAACAGCTGGGTGTAACTACTAGCTTGCAGACATCTTGAGAATGTACCCAGTTGGCTCTTATGAGCTAGTACAAGTTGACTCCATACACTACTAATAGTAAATAGTGGCAGAGCTTAAATGTTAGAGAACTACAGTGAGCCAAAGGCTCTGGTGACTGAGGAGGGACCCAGAAGAGATCTACTGGTGGCCAGAAGAGGCTGCAGGGTAGGAGGCTGTCTTGGTTACTTTTCTCTCTGTGCTGGGACAAAATACCCAATGCTCAAAATGAACGAAGGAAAGGTCTATTTAGCTTACAGTTTGTGGAGGTTTCAGTCCATGCTTGGCTGGCTCCGAGGCAGAAGACAGCAAAGCAACAAGAGCAAAGGGGGGAATGGCAGCCGAACAGCAATGCAGCCAGAGCCAAAAGGAGGAATGGCGGTAAGCAGCTTCTTTCCCTGCCTTACTTTGTAAACAGGCTACCTCCACCTAAGGGGTGTGTAGCTCTCACATAATCTCCATGCCCTCCTCTTCCACAGGCTCAGGATGTATACAAAGTAAGCACCCTGGCTTCCTGCTGAGTCACTTAGCCAAACCTCTAGACTCCCCAAGTTGACACAATGTATCAGCCATAACAGAGGCACAGCCAGTGCCAGGGCTCCTCAAAGAAGCTGGGGTTTGCTTTAGTCTCACTTTCCCTTTGCAGTGCCGCTGACCTTGACTCCTGGTGCCCATTGTCACCACCTGACTAATCTCGAGCTTAGCTTTCAGATTGGATTATTGTTCTGCCTCCCAGTTCATCTTGGGGCATTCTCCCCACACTAGTCCACTGTGTACTCAGATTCCAGAACACTCTTCCCAAACACATCTTTACATGCATTCTTCTCCATCTGTCTGGCCCCATGTAAGATGAATTCTATACCAAGAAACCTGGTTTTTATTTTTCAGAGCCACACACCAAGCTTCCCACTTCCCCCCCACACATGTGCCTTCCTCCTCCCTGCTGTGGTGGTTAACTGTGATGTGTCAAATTGACTTGAGCAAGAATCACCCAGCAGACAAGTAGAGCTCTGGCTGCATCTGTGGGTCACTGACCAGTATGCTGCAGACAGAGGAGGGAAGACCCACCCTGGATGTGAGTGGCACCCACCAGTAGGATTATAGTCTGAATGCAGTGAGAAAGGAAAGAAGAAGGAAATTCTCTTTTTTCTTTGGAGGATCTCCAGTCTGCACCACTGCCCTTGGATGTTGGTCTCCAGTTCCTTCAGGCTCCCAGTGCAGATGCTCAACCTTTCAGCACAGACCTTTTGACTTTCTGACACAGACTCCCACCAGACTACAGTGAGCTTCAGGGGCTCAACCTTTACCTGAATCCTTTGGGCTCCCAGGAGTATACCAACATGGCTGTCATAAGTCTACTGGGTAAATCCTTTACGTAATGGATATATTATGTGTACATGCTCTTATATGAGGATCTGGCCTCTTGACTACTGGCTATTGCAGACATCTTGAGAATGTACCCAGTTGGCTCTTGTGAGCTAGTACAAGTTGACCCCATACACTACTAATAGTAAATAGTGGCAGAGCTTAAATTTTAGAGAACTACAGTGAGCCAAAGGCTCTGGTGACTGAGGAGGGACCCAGAAGAGATCTATTGGTGGCCAGAAGAGGCTGCAGGGTAGGAGGCACAGCCAGTGCCCAAAGCATTGAGCTCTTTATGCTTCACAAGTACTACTGGGCTGTGCTGTCTCCCAGTCCACAAGACAGCTTATTTGCAACCCATTTTTCCTTTGTGAAGCACATCGAGTCCCAAGTATCCCACTCATCATTGTGGAAATGAAGCTCCTCCTCTGAATGCTTGGGTCACTCTCTGGACTTGTGAGTGTCTTGCAGCCTTAGATGTACATAGTTCCCCACTCACATCTTGGCCAATGCCTAACCAGATTGTAGACCTCTTGGGGTCAGACAGTAGATGTTTAGCAAATATTTCTTGCTGATTAGAAGAAACTGATATACCCCCAAATGGTGTACTTCCTGACAGAGTTGTAAAATTTGACCAAACTAGTTTCTGGTGTGTGTTTCTTCACGTTGTTTAGTTTTTGATCTGCAGCTTGTATTTGTAGCAAGTGGAAACATTAAGCTTGTTTGCACAGTGCACTTTGTATTAGTCTGCTTGGGCTGCCAAAACAAGATACTGCAGACATTGATATTCTCACAGTTCTGGAGGATGGAAGTCCAAGGCCAAGGTGCTGTCAGGGTTAATTTCTGGTCAGGGCCATCATCCCGGTACAGACTGCCACATTCCTACTCTGTGCCCCATGGCCTTTCCTCTGTGTGTGTGGAAGGAGAGCATTCTCTGGTATCACTTCCTTTTTCTTCCTCCCTCCCTTTTGCTCTCTCCCTCTCTCATTGTCTCTCTCT